CTGGACCAGGCAGTGATGGTGGGCAGGGCTGGGGGGTGTGGGGGTGGTGAGGGGGTGCAGCGCTGTCCCCTGCACTGCAGCTGCCCCGCCACCCCGGGCAGGCTGTGAAGGAACTGCAGACCTCCACGCGTGAGGCCATCGTCCTGCTCAAGGCCATGATCGAGGAGGTTCGCAACAGTGCCAGCGAGGAGGAGGCGGCCATCAACTCCCTCTTCAGCCGCATGCAGGTCTGAGGCAGCCACCTGTCCATCGAGCCCTGTGCCCGTGGGACAGAGCCAGGGTAGTGGGAAGGGACTGGGGTGGCTGTAGGACACAGGGCGGCTGTGCCATTTGCAGGAGCAGCTCTCCGAGAGGAAAAAAACGCTTCTGAAAGCTGTGCAGAGGTGAGGGACCATGGGCTGAGCCCTGTCCGAGGGATGTCCCCCCATCCCAAAGTGGTTTGGGATGCCTGGGCTGGATGGCTCTCTGGGGTCTTGCAAAGGCTGTGCCATGCCCTGCTCTGCTCTGCTGCAGCCAACACGAGGAAAAGGAGAAGGCATTCAAGGAGCAGCTAGCGCACCTTGCCTCCCTGCTGCCCACTCTGCAGGTAGGGTCTCCCACCAGGCAGGGACATCCTGACACCAAAGCCAGGCAGTGACAGACCCCCTCCACACACACAGGTCCACCTGGTGACCTGCTCGGCCTTCCTGAGCTCTGCCAACAAAGCCGAGTTCCTGGACCTGGGCTATGTGAGTGTTGCCAGCACTGCAGGGTGGTCAGAGCATCCCACAGCAGTGCTGAGCTCAGGGGCAAGGTGCTGGGCACCCCTCACCATGCTTCATCGCTGCCTTTCAGCAACTGATGGAGAGGCTGCAGAGAATTGTCAAGCTGCCACACCGCCTGCGGCCAGCCCAGACCAGCAAGGTAGAGCCCTGCCCTGCCCAAGGCAGAGCCTGTGGGCAGTGCCAGATGCCAGCTCTGCCCCAGCCCCAGTCACACTCTCCTCTCTTGCCCCCCCAGATCAACAGCGAGTACCGGGCAGAGTTCGCCCGCTGTCTGGAGCCCCTCCTGATGCTCAGCCCCCGCCGCTCCATGGTGGGCAGCGCTGGTGGCATTGGTCCTGGCATCACTGGCACAAACATGTGAGGTGCTAGGATTGCACCCAAGGCACATGTGCTACTGTGTCCCCTGCCACGTGCCACACTGCACAGTCCCCTCAGCATCTCACCATGCTAAGCTTGCCCCTGATGCTGCCCTTGAGCCTGTCACCTCAGCAGTGGTACCAGGACAGCACAGGCACAGCTGCACTGATGAACAACAGGCTTCAAGTGACACTTCTGGGAAGTGCGGCGGGTGGCAGAGGGGCGGGCAGCATCAGGGCTGGCAGCTGGGGGCCTGGTTGAACCTCACTCTGTTCCCCAGCCCGGCCCCTGCCACGCTCCCCAGAGGGTTCTGGCCCCTCTCCCTGGGTGCTCCACCTGGGCCAGCTCCTGCTCACCCACATGCCCCCGGTGCTGCAGCCTCTTTGCCTGCCACTATTTTTATCAGAATTTCAGGGAAGTGCTCGGCCATTCTTCACTGGGGATATATTTAGGCCTGTTGATGTCACAGCAGCACCGGCACTGCCAGGCCCTCCCAGCCAGAGAGGACAAACGGGCACTGCCGCCCCATGGGGACTGCTCCTCAACCCCAGCCAGGCTTGGCACTGCAGGGTGGCTGAGCTCCTGGGGGCTGCTGGCCCCAGCACAGGCGGGGGGAGCACGGCGCTGCACGGTAGGACCAATGGTGGTGGTGGTTAGCACAGGGAGACCATGGGATGGGGGGAAACAGAGGGGCAGTAGTGCCTGCCAAGGGGCCAGGAGATACCAGCGGTGAGGGAGCGACCTATCCCGCCCTTTAGAAACTGGAGGGTGCCGAGCTCAGCTCCTGGCTTCACACTGCCACAGCTGGTTCCAAAACTGCAGGAATGGGGAGAGCAGCCCACAGAAATCTGATTTTTGGGACAACATAAGGCACCTCTGACTGAACCCCTGTGCCTGGGTGAGGGAAGGGACATGTGGGATTGGTGCATCCCCAGGTTCACTGGAGACAAGGGGTGGTGGGGCTGCACTGGCAACATGGTCCCTGGCACATCACCCCCACTGCTGCTCACCTGCAGCATGTCACTGTCACCTCTCCATGCAGGCTCCCCGGTGGCCAATGCTCCAAGACCCTCATGGTGCCCAGCTGCCCCCCCCCCAGTGACAAAATGTCCACCGGCCCCATGGTGAAGAAGCCAACAATGCATCGGTACATCAGCACCAAGGTGCTCCTGGCTGAGGGGCGCGAGACCCCCTTCGCCGAGCACTGCCGCAACTACGAGAACACCTACCGGGTAGGGAGCATGGGTCGAGGCAGGGTGGGATGGGACAGGACGGGCCAGGCTGGTGCTGCTCATGCGGCTGTGCCCCCCGGTTCCTGCAGATGCTGCAGACGGAGATACAGGGCCTGAAGGACCAGGTGCAGGAGCTGCACCGTGACCTCACCAAGCACCACTCACTCATCAAGTCAGAGATCATGAGCGAGATCCTGCAGAAGTCGCTGCAGATGGACGTGCAGATCGCAGCTCACTACTCCGCCGTGGAGATGATGCGCAGCGTCTTTGAGGAGGTACAGCCGGCACATCCTGGCAAAGCAGGGCCCCTCTGTGCTGTACCGCTGCAGACTGCCCAGCTCCCTCTCTTCCTTCCAGGTCTGGGAGGAGACCTACCAGCGGGTAGCAAATGAGCAGGAGATCTATGAAGGTACTGGTGACCCCACGCTCCCTCCCGGTGCCCCTTGTGCCCACCCCCTGGGGGTGGCCGTGTCCCAGCCCACTCCTCTCGCCCTCAGCCCAGCTCCATGACTTGCTGCAGCTGCGGCAGGAGAACAGCTGCCTGAGCAACATCACCAAGCAGATCGCGCCCTACGTCCGCTCCATTGCCAAAGTGAAGGAGCGGCTGGAGCCCAGGTGAGGGGTGCAGGGGCTTTCAGGGCCAGGGGGGACATAGCTCATGGCTCACACCCCTCCCACCACAGGCTGCAGGAACCCCAGGAGCCCAAAGAGGAACAGGCCCAGATGCTGCTCAAGATCTGTGACGACAATGAAGTGGTGCCAAGGTAGGTGACAGCAAGCACCTGAGTGCCAAGTTCCTCCCATGCCTTCTCAGACAGTGACCCTGTCACAGTGCCTTCCCTTCCCCAGGGATGCCTCATCTGGCAGCAACAAGGTGGCTTCAGCCAGCCCTGAGGAGGGCTTCATGCCTAGGGACAACCCTGGAAACCTCTCCCCAAAAAACAAAGACTGCTGCAGGGGACAGCAGAAGAGTGGAGCAGAGAGTGCTACTCTGAAAGAGCCAGCACCGTAGAGCCCAGTGCTGGGCACGTGGCAGAGCCGCTGGGCAGAGCCATGCCCTGGTCACTGACCAGCTCCTCTTGCCCAGTGCCACAAGCCAGGGCAGGAAACAGGCAGCCATGTCTGCAGCACATACAAAGGCCTCAGGTGGACTTGCTTCTGAAAAATTCTCTTTGTGCTCTCCCTTGCGTGTGTCAGAGTGAAATAAAAGGGTGCAGTTGTCCATGTCTGCATGGTTCTGCAGCACTGACAAAAGGGATCTGCTGGCTCAGGGTGTCCAGCTGCTCCTAAAACCACAAGATCAGCAAATTATGGTGAAAAATAACTCCCAGGGCGGGGTCAGGGGTACACAGCCAGGTGATGGAGCATCCTGTGAAGTGCCAGGCAGCCACCCACCAATATGGGCTAGGTGCCAGGAACAGCTGCTCTAGAGGTTCCCTGCTCATGTGGGAACTAAGAACTCACCAATCACTGTGGCACTGAGGGCAGGGTTTCACAGATTACTCCAGCTTTTCCCTAAAACTTCACATGCCTTCCCCACACTCGGTAAGCTGCTGTCTCCTTGCAGAGCTTCTGGTCACAGGACTTAGGAAAAGGCTAAGAGAAGCTGTTGGTCTCAAAAGTGTAAAGAGGCACTGAAGGTTTTGCTCAAGGTGAAGTTCATCCCTTTCTTTTGGTGCCAACACATCCTGCTTGGACAGAGCCTGCACAGCTGGAACTGGCACTTGTGAAATTAGGATCAAGGTGCATTTACTATGAAGAACAATCTGGGAATGAGGTTTTGTTTCTGTTGTCAAACAGCACATCAAACCCAAGTGCCAATTGCTTGTTTCAAAGTTTCTTTGATCAAGGGCACAGCAGGAACATTACTGCCTACAAAAAAATTGGTTACAGTTTACCAGCTCGAGGCACCACTGGCTGCAACCAGAGCTTCCTGAACAAGAACAGCCCAAGTGGGAGCCTCCAAGTGCCCAGTACAGATCAGCACTCTCCAGCCGGTGAGTTTTCACCTTTGCTCTTTTCTCCCAAGCCAAAACTCTGCTCAGCAAAGGACACATTACCAGTAAGGGTATCAGGCAGATGCTCTGTGATCAAGCAAACCCAGTGGAGGATGGACTCTGCATCAGTTCAGCAAGGAGAAATGGAGGGTCGGGGTTAGGGTCAGCCTCATCCTTGTGGCTCCACAGCCTCACAAGTCAATGAGTCACAATCGTGCCTCAACACAGTGCTGGTGTGTTCTGAGAACCCACCTGGAATTATAAAAACTCCAGTTTCCAGCACCTCAAAGTGCCACCAGCACCTCAAGAGACCTTCAAATAACCAGACAGAAGATGGCAAAGTTTTCTCTGTATTTTTTTTTTTTTTTATAAAATAGAAAACCTAAACCCAAACCCAAGCCATTCTCACCAAGTGCCCCTTCCTGAGCCATACCGCAGCACCTTCCCCATGGAACACCACAAGCTCCAAGCATGAACTGACAAGCAACTCATTTCCATTCCAGCAAGGAAGAATAATGTAGAACTCAAGAAAACAGTGAACCTCTTTGGTATTTAACAACAAAGTTATACCACACAGCTCAGTGGGAACCATTTCCAAATGGTTACTATAAAAGAGCGTTTGCTAGCCCAACTCTTCTCCTAGTTGGAGATTTCCCTAGAAGCATCTCCTACTCACCCTGACATCACAGCTTTTGCCCAAAAGAGCAGGGGAGGATCTCAGGGACTAAAGCCCTTAGTAAGCCTGGCAGCTGTGGTTCTTTCACAACCCAGAATCCTGGGACCTCTGCAAGACGGAGGCAGCCTGGCAGGATAGGAAGCAGCGTGATTTGGAAGCAGGAAGAAGGAACAGAGGTGGCAGCGGAAGGCAGCAGCTGGACCAGTGACACTGCATCCACAGCAGCATCCGAGGGAGGAGAAGCAGGCCCTGAAGTGCTCAGATCCAGTGGCATGAGGGGAGCAGCAGAACCCTCCCAAGGCCTAGAGAGAACTGGGTGGTGCCGTGCTGCTGGCACTCTGGTGCTTCAAGGGCAGGCAGAGCCAGAGGTTGCTCCCACTGGCTGCCTCAGTGCCAGCTCAAGGAGTTTGGCCCGAAGAGATTAAAGCCATGTCACCAGGCTCATGAGGTCAGAAAGCTTTAAAATTGAATTATGCAACAGGAACAATCTGCTGCCCAGCACCTTCTCCATCCAGGGCCAGTGCTGTTTCCTGGTAGAATCAGTTCCAGAGCCGTTCCAAGACAATTCAGCTGCTGCAGGCAGAACTCATTCTCTTTAGGGTCGCTACAGGCTAAGTTATCTGGAAGATCCCTGAATGTGCAATGAAGGACTGATCTCAAGGAGGACAAACAAGCTTCTGATCTATGAGTGACCCAGCAGCTGCCCAACGCCGCAGCCCTCCACCAGCTCCTCCTGGGTGGCCGGGAAATACCAACAGGCACCTCCAGAGGCCAGTGCCACACAGGCTCTGGGCACAGCAGGAGCTGGGCGTGTGCTCAGCCAGTCTGGTTTTCGCCCATGTTACAGTTCCAGTTTGACTCCTTTAATAAAAGGGAGACCCGAAGGCACCTTCCTTTTGTACTCCAGGTACTCTTCTCCAAAGAAGTGAATGAGTGTGATCTCCTCCTCCTCGATCCGCTCCCTGAAGAAGCGCCAGGACGCCAGTGCGTAGCCCACCACACAGATGGGATTGCAGAGCAACACCTGGAACAGATGCTGCTGGTGAGCATCCCCTCGAGAACCCAAGACTGCCCCAGCCCCACAGCTCATCCCCCTCCAGAAACATTGGCACAGAAAAAGAAAAGACCCCAACACTCCTTGTGAAACTTCATAAGCACGAGTTTCTCCCCAGAATGAAGAAAGCAGCGCACAGGAAGCACTGGCGTCACTGCCCCAACTCTCAAAAAGCTCTATGTACTATCCACGGACTCTCTCCAGAGAAATACAATCCAATGCCAGTGCCCAGCCAGCCAAAAGAACACACAGCTACAGAAGCACTGAGCTATGGCTCAGCTGCAGCTAGTCAGAGCTGACCCTCTAGTCAGGGAGTGTCCTTGCCCTCAAGTACAGAACTGGTGTTTGGCAGGAGCCAGGTTGAGTCTGACCACTCGTGGAAGGCATCTTGACCACAGGGATACAGAAAACCCTGAACACCAGCTTTAGACCAGCAGTAAATCCCACCCTAAGCCTCCAAGGGGGTTGTGGGTCAAAACCCCAGCTCCATCATGTCTCCTTACTGTACAGAGAAAATTAAAGGAACAGGATCTTCCCAAAGATCACATGGGCCAGTGTGCTCAGGGATTCCTGATTTCCTGTGTGCCAGTGGGAGGCAGCAGAATCCATGCCCAGCATCAGGAGGTGTCTGCACCCCATCACAGCATATGCAGCAGTGAGAGCAAAGACTGGGGTTGTGACACGAAAGAATCTGAGCACGCTGGATACAGTACCTGTGTTCCAATACTCCAGTAAAACCATCCCACGTAGGACGGGTGCCGGAACCACCCATACACCCCACTTGTCACCAAAGTGTGGGTGTCAGATTTCTCGTTCTGAACGATGTGGTTGAAGTTGGAGCCGGCTGTAAGCATGGCTGCTTTCCTCAGGCAGTCCCCGAAGATCACCATCAGCAGCCCCACGGTGCTCAGCCAGGTGATCTGCTTCAGCTCTGCATGGACAGGGAGGGGCACAACGGGTTTGTGCAGGTCTTGAGGGGTTCAGGGGGCTGCTCAGTGAGTGGGCTTTGCCCCCCATCTCAAAGCAAAATGTGTGACAGCAGCAGTCATGCGCTGCCCTCCCACACCAAACACATAAAACCAGCAACCCCTGCTTGGTGTTAGCATAGATTAGTCCGTGGGGCCCAGCTGTAGAGGCTCAGCAAAGATAACACAAAGCACAGCCAAGGACATACTCAGACTGCTACAAAACAATAAAAGGGAACAGCTTCCCTCTCCCAGGAATAAACAGGTGAGCACAGCCAGTTTGCCCCAACTGGGCAACCAGCAACATATTTTGATGACTTGATTTTATTCCTGTCAAAAGGTGGCACCTAGATGTACCTGACACATAATTCTTGTACCTCCAAGGCAGGAAAGGGCTGAAAATCCCCTGGCCTGGCATGTCAGAGTGAGGAGGGGCTCCCCCCTGCCCTCCCAAGATCCAACCCGAGAGGCTTTGAGCACTTAGGGATTATGACCATGACAAAGCTGATGCCGGGCTGTCACGGGGCAGCAAGCTGAGGGTCACCTGCACTTTGCCATCAGACAGATGGACCCCAGGCAAGCCACGTGCAGCTGGACAGAATCAGGGAGGGATAGGGTGGCCGACCTGGGAAGAAGAGCTTCTCCAGCGTGAACTCCACCCAGGAGGACAGGGCAGCCAGGTTGTACTCGAAGCTGTGGTTGAGTAGGAAGGAGTCCAGCGAGAGGCTGCGCGGGTTGTTGATGGCTGTCACCAGATACTCCGAGTAGTGAAAGAGGGAGAGGGAACACATGTACCTACGGCGGGAGAGATGGAAGGGCAGGTTTAGTAGGGCCGGGGGCACCGCGCCCTCCCGGATTCCCGGCCCGGCCCTTACCATCCGAAGTGGCGCCAGGCGGAGCGGCCGGCGCTCAGCAGCAGCCCGCAGCCGAAGGCGAAGCCCAAGAAACAGGCCCGGACGGCGATCTGCAAGCACAGGGAGGGGAGAACGCGCTGCCGCCGCCGCTCCCCGGGCCCGGGGTATCCCTACCGGCGCACCTCGGGACCGGTACGGATCCCTCCACAGCCGCACTTCACCCCGCCGCCCGCCGGGGCCACCCCCGTACCTTGTAGAGCGGCCGCGGATAAACGAGCAGCAGCGCCGCGTTCACGCCCGCCACGTGCAGGGCGAGAGCTAGGCGGCCGCGCAGGCCGGGAGCGGCCAGCAGGGAGGGGGACGAGCCGAGTAGCAGTGGCAGGGCCGCCACCGAGGCGCCGAGCAGGAAGGAGCAAAGGCTGGCGCGGCC